AATTTGGTTTCACCATTTCTGTGGGGTTTTTTTTCCTTTGCCGGATTTTCCACAGGAACAGTGAATCTAGCTAAAACAGCAAAATAATATGGGGCAGCTTCCACGCCCCCCATGAGGACAATGACCTATGGATGCTGCACAAAAACTGCATGCGCGAGTAGCATTGAATCCCCAATGGAATCACCCACTGATTTAGACCTGGAAGCATTAAGGGTATTGGAGCTCTGAGTACCAAGACTATATTCCTTTCCTTGCTCATTGTCTGCTTCAAGCAGTTTCAGTTTTAAGACCACCCTGATGGGAGCATCAGTGCATCTAACCACTGTACACTCACTGTGACTTCCGCCTCCTTGGAGTTGATTGGTGCTGCAGAGGAACTCATTTGTTCTTCGAATGTTCTGCAAAAATGAAAGGGCAATCAATTAGAGAAGGCATTAGGGTCCCCTCGGACATCTTCTGCATGTGCATGCCAGATTTGTTCTGAAAAATGTGCTCCTGTCTGGTACATCAGACAGGGTCAGGAAACTTGAGGCTTTTGTTATCAGAGCATTTCCATGTTTTAAATAAAGGAAATATCTAAATATTCTAGAAACGTTGAGCAAACTTCTCACCCCCTGCCAACTTCAAATTAAGATACAGCTAAAAACACTAATATAGCTATCCATTAAGTAGTACAGTGGTACCTCGGGTTACATATGCTTCAGGTTACACACTCAGCTAACCCAAAAATAGTGCTTCAGGTTAAGAACTTTGCTTCAGGATAAGAACAGAAATTGGGCTCTGGCAGCGCGGCGGCAGCAGGAGGCCCCATTAGCTAAAGTGGTGCTTCAGGTTAAGAACAGTTTCAGTTTAAGAACAGACCTCTGGAACGAATTAAGTACTTAACCCGAGGTACCACTGTACTGGAATCAGCTACATGAAAAATAAGATCTCTAGCAATGTTGATTTAGACAAAAAACATTAGTGCTGATTGGTTTCTGAATGTCTGATGTAGATTTTCAGTTTCGTTGTTCTGTGTGGGACAATGACAATAAAGATTATCATATCGTATTGGGGTTAGAGCCAGATGCAAGGAGGCTAGCAAAATACTCAAGTAAAAAAAAAAGTACAGTTGTGCCATTTAGCAGTTTATATTACATAATCCTTAAGCTAACAGGGATAGTCTTAGCTTTATGAATGTCTGTAGCTTAGAACTACTCCTAATAGCTGAAGCTACCTTCTCCATAAAATGGGGGAGGAGGCTATTTCAGTGGTAGATGCAGCATGGCATAGTGGTTAGAGACTAGGACTGTGGAGAATGTGCCAGGTACAGATTTCCACTTAAGCCACGTAGGTCGCTTGGTGACCTGGGGCCAGTCATTCTCTTTCAACCTTCTCTGCATCACAGGGTTGTTGTGAGGATAAAATAGGGGAGAGAACCCTGTATGCCACTTGGAGCGCTTTGGGCAAAGGTAAACATATTATTGAGTAATAAATATAGGACATCTGCCTGTTGCATGAGGTCCTGGGTTCACTCTCCAGCTAGAGGACCTTGCTGAACTGCTACACACCAGAACAGATGGCTTATTGGTCTGTTTCATATGTTCAAAGCCATTGTTTCATGATTTGTAGAAGAAATAGACACTTCTCCCCTCTTACATTCTCCAGACGTCTTCTCAACATGGACCTTTTCTCTCTACTCACTGAGAGAAACTCTTTTGCCTTGTTAACTACCTGCCTTTGCATCTGGAAAGTTCTGAATATTTATACCCTTCTCCTATGTTTACTTGGAAGGAAGCCTCGCTTTGTTTAATGAAACTTTCTGCCCAATAAGCGTGTATAGAAGGAGCGTCTCCAGCCCCATCGTTCTGCCCGGACGCTGAGGTCCAGCACCGAGGGCCTTCTGGCGGTTCCCTCATTGCGAGAAGCAAAGCTACAGGGAACCAGGCAGAGGGCCTTCTCGGTAGTGGCACCTACCCTGTGGAATGCCCTCCCATCAGATGTCAAAGAGATAAACAACTACCTGACATTTAGAAGACCTCCGAAGGCAGCCCTGTTCAGGGAAGTTTTTAATGTGTGACATTTTAATATATTTTTAATCTTTGTTGGAAGCCACCCAGCGTGGCTGGGGAAACCCAGCCAGATGGGCGGGGTACAAATAATAAAATTATATTATATTATATTATATTATATATTATATTATATTATTATATTATATTATATTATATTATATTATATTATATTATATTATATTATTATATTTTTTATTTATGATGTCAGCAAGTGATCTTGCTTAGTGTTCTTGCATTTGAGCTGCTATAGCAATGCAGCTAAGAGGCTGAGCAATGAATTGGGAAGTCCTTGCTCTGAACATCTCCTTGCCTGTGAACTCATTTGGTGGGCTTAAGCAAGCCACATACTTGTCAGTCTTGGTCCCCCCCCACCTGCGACATGTGGATAGTAATTCTGATTTGCCTTACATGGCTGCAGTAAAGATTGCAGCTACGTATTGGACGTGACCTGCTTTGAACACTTGAAAGCACTACACACATCAATAAATTATTAGTACTACCACTGTTGATGTTACTTGTACAGGCAGAGCCAGATGGCCTCTGTACAGCATCGTTGATAACTTTTGTATAGCACGTGCAAGTGTTCAAAGCACTTCACATTTTGTCTAGTTGCGGTCCTGTAGGATAATGCCTGCATAGTGGCAGTATCGTAGTGCAGAAGGCATGTGGACTGCGTGTCCAGGTGTTTTGCATTGATGTTCCTAGGTAGTATAAAAAGCTTCATTTTGATCAGGGGTGCCCAAACTTTTGAAGTGAAGATGCGTGAGGGCCGACCAAAGTTGTTGAGCTTTTTTTAGGATTTTACCCCAGGACATATACAACCAGCGGGCCGGATTAGGCCCCTGAAACGGACTTTGGACAAGCCTGTTTTAAATGCATGCCGTTGTAGTAACCAGCTAGTAGGCATGAGAATTCAAGTAATACACAAATTTTAGAATTAATAAATTTCTGTCCCGCCCTTCCTCCCAAAGGAGGTCAGGACACAGCAAACATAAATAATATTAAAACAATGCAATTTGCAATAAATATATATATATTTAAAACAAATAAAAACTAACTACGAAAGCATTTAAAAGCAATTGTGTACCCTCACAGAAGCTAATTTCAAGGTTGCCATGGGCACTGCCTTTCAGCCATTAACCGTCTGAGTGAACAGGGATGTTTTAAAATTCCTCCTGAAAGTCAACAGTGCAAACAGGAAACTGTCACCAAGAAGGCCCTGTCACAGATCAACGCCAACTGGGCAGCAGCGTCTCCTGCCAATCATAGGGCCAGAGACAGTTAATAATGTGGGATGCTGTAACTTAAGTCCATCAACCCTGAGGGCCTCTTGTTCCAGTAATGAGTGATATGGGAAGCAATATTTATTTTTTCTTTCTTTAAAGTAGTAAATATATGGATCTATTACTGCTGCCATGTTACGTGCTGCCACTAGTCCTTCTTCACTGCAGGGTAAAATATATTTGATGCTGCTCTTTAACTATGTGGCCTCTTCCTAGTGTTCTTCAAAGTACACCCATATACATAATAATATACACATATGTTGATTATTGCTGTTATCTTAGTCTGCCGTCCCCCCACCTTTTTAAGGTAGCCACTCACTGTTTTGGAGACTCCATACTTTCCCATCGTCCTGACCGAAGATCCCATCCCTTTGAACTTTACAAAGTGAAACTGGAAGCAGAGCGGTCACCAATAGTTGCAGCCTGGTCAGCTCCAGAGCTTGCTGTTGCTGCATGATGCATATAATCTTGTCCACTCCAGTTTTTAAAAAAAAATTTTTTTGAGTGAATTCACTTAAGCTTTATGTCTCTCTGAAATTAGCCTTCAGTCCTCAAACTTACTTAGGGCTTGCCGTATCTGCATAACCCATTGAGCCGCTTCGTGAAAATAGCGGCGCCATCGGTGTGCAAAACGTCATTGCTCCACTGCAGTGCGTCGGCTCCCTCCTGTCAACCTAGCAGTTTGAAAGCATACCAGCACTGGTAGATACATAGGTACTGCTGTGGCGGGAAGGTAAATGGCGTTTCCGTGCGCTCTGGTTTCCATCACAGTGTTCTGTTGTGCCAGAAGTAGTTTAGTCCTGCTGGCCACATAACCCGGAAAAACTGTCTGAGGGCAAACGCTGGTTCCCTCAGCCTGAAAGCAAGATGAGCGCCGCAACCCCATAGTTGCCTTTGACTGGACTTAACAGTCCAGGGGTCCTTTACCTTTTTCCCCATCAGCTCCTTATAGCAGACAAATTTGACTTCCTCTCTTTTGTTGGTGAGGGAATTCAAAGCCCGTTTGACTGGAAAGAACTTGGCGTCAGGCCTAGTGACGGAAAAAAAGATACCCTGGAAGTATTGGGGGAGGGGGCTCTGAGGCAGGCCTGAGTGGCTGGGGTAAAAATAATAATAATAATAATAATAATAATAATAATAATAATAATAATAATATTTTATTTACTTTACTTACTTACTTACTTACAGCCAGGTCCCCAGCAGGAGTTACAGGTATTGACACCTGTTCTGGGCCCTTCGTGTCTCTAGATCCAGACCTGTGGAGCAGCTGTAGGGGACAGTCAGGAAGCACCCCATTATTCATTTGCCCCCTAGAATGTTCTAGAGCAATGCTCTCGCAGGGCATTGTGGGTAATTACCATTCTGAGTGGCTTGCAGCCACTTGCTGCAGGTAGCAGCACCCCTACTGCCTATCGCCGTGGCAACCCAGTGACGTCTGAGGGAGCCCATGAAGGACACTTCGCCAGGCAGCCAGAGGCTAATAATAATAATAATAATAATAATAATAATATATTATAATTATTTATTATTTCTACCCCACCCTTCTCGCTGGGTTTCCCCAGCCAGTCTGGGTGGCTCCCAACAGAATATTAAAAACATGATAAAACATCAGACATTAAAAACTTCCCTAAACAGGGCTGCCTTCAGATGTCTTCTAAAAGCCAGATAGAAAGCTGACTGGGAAGAGAGCCCAGGAGACAGGGTGGTTACAGGAAATAATAGGCAGTGAGCGAAAAGGAGAGGAGCCTAAGGAACAGAGGGAAGAGACCCATCTCTGTGGAGAAAGAGGTGGCACGAAACCAGGGGGAATTTCGCCTAAGGACAGGAAGAGTCATGCACTGCAGGTATGGAAGAATAGGGCCCAAAGACTGGCACGGTGCCAGATTTAACTTGAAATGAGGTGGATTTCTAGTAACTACGGGATACATTAAAAAAGCACAGGTGCCCATGCAGGTCTTTGGAGCATTTCACGGCTCACCTGTCTGAAACTTGAAAATAGGATTCGTTTGTAACCGCCTGGCCTACTTCCTCCAGCAGCTACAGACTGACCGTCTCTTGGTAACATTTAGGGTACAATCTGTAATTGGTAAACGGCGTTTCCGTGTGCTCTGGCTTCCGTCATGGTGTCCCGTTGCGCCAGAAACGTTTAGTCATGTTAGCCACATGACCCGGAAAGCCATCTCTGGACAAACGCCGGCTCCCTTGGCCTGAAAGCGAGATGAACACTGCAACCCCATAGTCGCCTTTGACTGGACTTAACCGTCCAGGGGTCCTTTACCTACAATCCGTAATTCTCAATATCTGTCTACTCAGTAGAAAAGGTATGGATAGTATGAGTCAAAAGTGTACAGGCGCTGAGGCATAATTCTGTTATAATTCACACTTTCCAGAGCTGATCCCTGATTATTTCTGGTCTGGATCGCACAAGCATTGTCACCATTTAACCATAATGATGTTCAAATGTGAAAGGGCCAACCTGGCTGTGACATCATATTGCATCTTCTCTGAGACTGTGTGTATGTCAGAGTATTCTATTGTGCTTTTGTGAACATTTTTCCACACAAGAGCCGCTTCAACTGAAGTCTCTCAATGTCCACACTAGTGGATCGCACTCAGTGGGGGATGTATATGAATGTGTGTTGTTGTCCTGTCCCCTCAGTTAGTAGTAATAATAATAATAATAATTTTTTATTTATACCCCGCCCTCCCCAGCCAAGACCGGGCTCAGGGTGGCTAACAACCAATAATAAAAACAAGTTGATTAAAATACAATTTAAAAGATTAAGATACAACATTAGGGTGCAATCTCTTCATAGGAGGAGAAAGGAAAAAGAAAGAGGAGGAGGGAATCAAACTGGTTCTAAGCCAAAGGCCAGGTGGAACAACTCTGTCTTACAGGCCCTGCGGAAAGAGATCAGATTCCGCAGGGCCCTGGTCTCAAGAGACAGAGCATTCCACCAGGCTGGAGCCAGTGTTGAGAAGGCCCTGGCTCTGGTTGAGGCTAATCTAACTTCCTTAGGGCCCAGGACCTCTAGGGTGTTGCTATATATGGACCTTAAGGTCCTCTGTGGGGCATACCCATAGGTATGAGGGTCCTAGGCTGTGAAGGGCTTTAAAGGTCAAAACCAGCACCTTAAATCTGACCCTGTACTCCACCGGGAGCCAATGCATTTGGAAAAGTACTGGGTGAATAGTACTTTCCCCACCCTTCCTGAATTTCAGAAACTTAAGCATGCATGCAAGTACTTGTTACCTTGTACTTAAATATTTGAAGTACAAGTTTTCTGCTTGTGCATATGCAGGGCTTGCATAAAGCTGTGGCTTTAAAAAAAGTGTTTGTTATAGTTTTAATTTTGTAAATCACAGGGTGAATATGGATCACGGCTTCCCTGGATTTCAGATCCAGCGCAGAAAGGGGGCAAGGTTCTCCTTCATTGTCCTGCTGGTGATAGATTGATAGTTTATCACATGGTTATATATATCTAGATAATTTTGTTGCCCTTTATTCATTCATAGTCTCCATTCTCAACCCCCCTCACCTGGGTGTAAGCCCCATTGAATTAAATAAGAAGGACTTCTGAGTGGACATGGTTAAGCAATCCATCAGTTCTGCTGATGGGTTGGGTCCAGTCTTACAGAAGACGGACTGAAATCATGGCGATTAGTTAGTTGTGATCTAATAATGTGAAATACATCTATAGTTTGAAAATAAAGTGGTGAAAGTTGCTGTTTGCACCTCCTTAGTTCAGATGCAGTGATAAAAAGCTGACCAAGTGATCGTCGTATTTAACTTAAATCCTACTGATTTCAGTAGGCCTGCTCTAAAGGATAAATTAAGTCTGGATCCAACGCTGTGTGTGTATGGAATTAATACAATACTTAGGATTCTTTACAGATCTGTGTGTTTTCCAGGTCAACACCCGGTACTTTTACTTCCAGTGTACTTTTTCTTCACTCCTGATACTGAATTCTGGTACAGTATTGATATCCAGTCTGCAGTGCTGCATTTTTTCATCTGGCACTCCATCCATGTAGGGCTAACAGCTGCCAGAGAGATCTACTCAATGCTGATCTCCCAGAAAATGCTTCTGAATATTGAACACTTTGCACAAAAAATTGTTTCTGAAATTTAGAAAAGGGGTCTAGCCATTTATCTTCCCGTTTACCTTCCCGCTGGAGTGGTACCTATTTATCTACTTGCACTTTGACGTGCTTTTGAACTGCTAGATTGGCAGGAGCAGGGACTGAGCAATGGGAGCTCACCCCGTCGCGGGGATTCGAACCACCAACCTTCTGATCGGCAAGTCCTAGGCTCTGTGGTTTAACCCACAGCGCCACCCGCGTACCCATGTTTCCAGTAAGCCTCCATAATTGAATTGCTTGGTATGTGGAGTCACCTCACAGGCCTGTTTGCACTACTCAGCTTCAGGTGAAACTTCCCTTGCAGTCCACGTTTGAAGTTTGCCAGGCGCCGGGCGCATTTTGCACCTGGCTATCAGCCACTTGCAACCCAGTGAAAATGCCCAGGTGCCAGAATGGCGCTTGACGTCTCCACCCTCTGGAGGTGCATCATGCCTGGGGACTCTTGGATCTTGACTGTTTTCACACACTAATACCACATCCTGTAGAATTCTACACAGTCCTGTGTAGCGCAGCATAACTTTTAGGGTGAATATCGACAAGTAGGGCCAGCCTGCATCATCTGTCTCATAAGAGGCCTTGGCTCACATTAAAGTTTTGTGGGGATGGTGCACTAGGCCATGACCCATCCTTGTGCCCTGCCAGTGTGTTTAGCCATCATCTTTGACCAGTAAGTGAACTCAGATTGTCCAGAGAGCTAAACTGAATGGTCATCCAAGCCCATAGTGGTCTCTGGAAACCTGCCTTGGCAATCATTGTGTCTGTAAAGAAATTAAGGTGTGCATTGGCTCCCTACCATTCATTTGCTGGACTACAACTCCCATCATTCCTGGCCATTCATAATGCTAATATTTCAGGATCAGGCTTTTTGCACACAGCTGTAAAGTTCTATAAAGCCATAAGCTTCCATGCAGGTTGGTAGCGACACACAAACACAAAATGTGATATTGTGCACCTGACGGCATTTCCATGCCGCTTCTTTGCATTTTGCACCTGGACAGAGTTTTAACCGCAAGTCTTCTGTCCTTCCTGGAAATGTTGTTGGGGTTTTTAATTACTATTGCAAAATTATTCTGAAAAATTCACGCTGCCATTGATGCAAAAGGCAGCTCAGAATGAAAAGGAGCCTTTGCTTTGTATGGACGGAAGGGTGTGGCTTAGGAACCAGATGATGGGAGAAGAAAAATGCTCTTTGTTCTGCAGTCAGGTAAAGCAGGTGGCTTTGCTAACTAGCCTGATCTGGGATTTGGGATAAAAATGCAGTGAAAACTTGGTTCTCGGTCGTATTTGAAGAAGTAAACCTGGAAAATGTAGTAATTGCCAGTGGTTCCACTACAGCTCCCGATACGTGGAATCCACTAGTGTATAAGCTGCAAGTTTGCTTTTTTAAAAACCCTATTTTGTTTCATTGTTGTTTATAATTAGCTACTTTGATTTACTGTTAAATTACTGCAGTTTTTAACACTTTATTGTCCTGAAAACTTTGTGTATCAGGTCCAAGCGTTGTCATTTTTCTGTAGTATAGTTGTGTACAGTGCATACAAATTGTAGCATTCACCCGATGGAGGGGGTTGTGTCGGGTGGGACTGCTTTGCTGGAATAGTGTGAAAACGTGTGTAGCCAAGGGGGGGCGAGGAGGCAGCTGCCCCCCCCATAATCAGTGAAAATCAATACAAATGAGGTTCTTCCCTCCCCCAACAAAAGCGTGCCCCCCCCCCAAATAAAACCTGGCTACGCCCATGTGTGAAAAGTGAATAGATGTGAACTGAGGGCTGTTGGATGTGGGGAGGATGGATTGTAGTCATACATTTTTGTCAAATCTGAAATTGGAAATTAGATTCTTTCCCCCTTAAAGCTGGAGGTCTAGAGTCTCTAGACAAGGAAACCTCCCTCCTCGAATCTACTTTCTCCTTCCTTTTATTAGCCTGCATTAGAATTTAACCCATGTTTTAGATCGATCTTGTGAACAAAATCCATGCAAAAGAACACAGTAAATATTCACGGTGGAATCACTGCAGGCTTTTTCTTTCTGTCTTTTTTTTTTTTTTTAAGTCCCTGCGTAAATCGGGATTACAAAGTCTTTGTTTGCGTAAAGCAAATTGAAACACGTACACAACCCATTACAATAAGAAATGAACAGGGTGTTTCTCCTGTTCTCTGTGAATCCTGTGCAAATAGCCAGATTCCGTGCTTTTGAAATTCTTTTGAGTGCAGGTATTTCCCCAATTTTTCATCGCTCCTGGTTCCCTTTCTGGAGATGAATGAAGACAGACCAGTTTTTCAATTGAATCTTACACTGGCCCTTGCAGTGACTCGCTGGCCTCCGCAGCAGTGGCTGTTCACAATTTCGTAGTCAAAAAAGCAACCTTTCAGATCAGTTACCTCCTGTCAAGAGCTAATTTTCCAGCAGTCAGGCTTTATCTAGATAAATAATTAGAGAGGGAGATGAAGACTGTCGTGCTGAGTCTGTCTGTCTGCGACACAGTTAATACAGTCGATCTCTGTGTTTTTTCATTTTTGCAGAACGCTTGCAGTGCCCGTCTCATTAAAAAAAATCTGTGTAGAGGCAATGGGCAACAAAGCCAATTGCTTTGCATTTGTCTCGGATGAATTAATGACACTTCTCATGTATTTGTCAGAAGTAAGCAAACAGCTGCATCTTGCATCAGGAACAGAGAAAATCCTGCCTTGCTGGCTTATTCCAAGGCCTTCTACACGGCCATGAAAAAGCACCCCGTACATCGTCTATAAGAATATGTAGCACTGTATATTTTAATTTAAGCAGCAAACAAAATCAGTTAAACTTTAACATTCGCCTTTTCTGCATTGGACAAAAGAGCCTTTTTCGCTGCCATTCCCTGGGCTGAAAGCTAAATTTAGCTGGGAATCATTTAACGTGACACTAGAGAGACAGGAGAGAGATGCACACATGTACAGATATTTAATGAGTAGACACTATTGTGAAATATCTTGCACTGTAGCTGCGATTCTCTCTCTCTCTCTTTCATAGATCCCCATTCAGTTAAGCTGTATTATTGATGCAAACTCCAAAGAACATGTAGTAGTATATTGACAAGTACACATCCCCCCATGTACTGCTATCGGAAGGGTGTTTGGAAACCCTTTAGTTCTCTCTCCTTGGTGGTAGCTTCGGCAACATTTCCTAGTAAGATCTGGTTTTAAAAATGGATCAATATCTCAGTTCTTGTGTCTGTTGACCACTTTAAAGTGTGCTTGTCCTACACAATACCTCGAGGGGGCATGCCACTTCCTTAGGAAACCCAGATATTTAATTATTATTATTATTATTATTATTATTATTATTATTATTATTCACTGCCTAGCCCTTCAGCATACTTTATTATCTCATTCTTTCACAAATCAGAGGGCTGAAGTCTTCCCCCAGCCCCAAATCCTAAATATACTGTCTCTGCCACAGAAGACACATAATATCCAGCCCCCTCCATTTAAGTAGCATGCGGATCCTTCGCATACGCCATGGATTATTTTAATTCTTGATTCTATGCATCGTTTTACATAAGGTAGAAAAGATGTTGTAAATGAACATTTCCAAATAATCATTTTTAAAATGTTCTTTTATTTGGGAAGTAGCCCTGTGGCTGGACGTCTCTGCTGCACTTCTTTTCCGTTACTGCAATCGTTCGCTGCCCTGAATCAATTTCTGCGACTCACATTGGTACATTGAAGGGTGGGGTACCAGCAGCGGATATGCATATGGTGGAACGGGTGGAGAAACGTGGCTGTTCTGCCAGCCCAGGGACCATGGAGGCAGTTGCCTGCTATCTTGTGGTTTTTCCTTTTAAAACAAAAAACAAAAACTAAACTCCTTTGCGCTTCCATATGATAGGAAAGCAAAAGGCTTTCTTTCCAATATAATGGAGCCATTAACATCTATTAATAATGCAGACAGGGTAAGTAGCTGGAGTTGGCGATCCCAAGGGGCCTCGTGAAACAGATGTGCACTGTATCTTCCCGGATTTGATGGCTGCTGGGGTCGAGGGGGTCGCTGTGGTTCCTGTTTATTTCCTCTGGCAGTGGTTTTCTAATTTAAGCACCTCTGTCTCCTGGCTACAGTAGCCTGCTGTGATGCAGAGGTGGGGAGAGAGAGAGAGAGTGGGGAGAGAGAGAGAGGGAGAGAGAGAGAGAAAGAGTAGGAGATGGGTGCAAGCATAGATTGGTAGTGCCTCTGCACAGCTCCCAAGCTGACCTCTTCCCCTCTTTTCTCCTCTTTGCCTTTTCTTCGCAGAGGCATCCGTGTCGGGGGAAGCTGAACGGGAGAGCGGCTTCTCCTTTTGTTAACGTGTCGGAAAGGTAAGCGCCTTCCTTGTTGCCGACTTGGAATACTGCTGTGTTGTGCATGCATCTTACCGGAGATGGGATAGAAAGCCCCTTGGAAAAGCTGTCCCGTCCTGTGTCATTCGACACAATGCAGTAAGTAAGCCTGAAAATGGAGATAGCCTTATTTCTCTCCTCCTCCTCCTCCGGCCCACCCCCCAACCCCCCCGGTTCGCCGTCTTCTTTTTCCAAACAAGACCCGGTGTTTCAGTTTGAATCTGCTCTGTTCCTGACAGCTGTTCTGAATTGACAGGGGCGTTTGGAGAGAACGGATTCCCCACCTCTTTTAGCTGTTTAGGGTTAGGGGAATGACAGCAGGCTGCCTTTTTTTAAAAAAAAAAAGTTCCGAAAGGAAACGTTCCATTGTATCTTTGCACTTCCTGGGATCGCGCAATCACCCACCTGCCTAAACAAAAGCTTTTGTTCCGTGTGCACTGATTTCTAATATGCTATGTAAAGCAGCCGTGTGATTTGCATGATTTCAGGGGGCTAGGCTCAGTGTAAGGCAAAACAGCAGATGTAAATGTCTGTAGTTGGACACAGCTGGGTTGTAGCATTGTCTTGTGCGCTCGCAGTATAATGCAGAGGAATGCATTTCCGGATAGATTGTCAAGAGACATGTTTTAAAACACTGCCACTGCCTTCCATCACTCATTCAGTCCCCTGCAGCAACAGAATAGTACTGGAAGTTCTGAGCTGTGCAGGGCAAATAGCATAACTTGTCTGGAACGAGAAGAGTAATTTCCCGCATTATATGGGTTGCTAAACATTGTTGCAAATAATGTGGAAAGGGAAACCATTCGCTCTCTCCTCTTGTCTTAAGGCAATATCTGCTTGCATCGAGTTCTTGGGATATATATTGTGCATTGAGTAGCGAGAAATAATAGGGAGATGGTGGATTTCTCCATTTTCTTTAGGTGATACAGGAATTGCGTGTGTGTGTGTGTGTGTATGCATCACCTTGTCTGTAAATTACAGCAAATTGGAACTATAATCATGTTCTTGGGCAGTAAATTTTTTTTAAAAGCCTTTGTGGCTTTTTGTTCATTCTTCATCCATATTCCTCCTATCCCCATAAGCACTGATGCATACAAACTGTCCCAATGTAAAAAGTGTCCCATTAAAAGAATTTTTAAAAATAGCCTGTATCATCAGTAACAAATGTATTCTTTATTTTGACAAATATTTTATTTTTTAATCTGCAGACTTCTCCATTTTTCTTAAGCGTGGGGGAGTTCTGATCTCTCAAAACTGAGCTTGCTTTGTTTAATTTGCAAAGTCTACCATATGCATGTGTTCATGTCCGTAACATCCCCGTAGGTTAATTCAAGTCTAAGGGTATAACAAAGGGACAAGAGAGATGTATTAATATTTTCGAAGAAAAAACTGAGGACAAAATACAACTTGGAATACATGGGTGGTATTGTAATGGAGATGTATTCTTGGCAGATATGTAAGTTCGGCAATAATATTCACCTGTTTTAAAATGGTAAAGAGATCCTGTTTTATGAGTTTTGTTGATGACTGCATTGAACACCGATTCATAATCACGTACCATTTTTATTGGGAACCTTCTGTTGCACTAGACTGGATTTGCAAGGATAATGAAAGTTAAAAATTTGATTTGTCAGGGTGACAAAACAACAGAGTATAATAATATAGGTTATTTTCCTTTATCATAGTGGGTGAGGTCAATGCTTCAATTTATTGATGAATTCCACAGCAGGGCTTATATAGGGTGAAAATAGTTTATCAACTTTGCTACTCAGATCTGTGGGTTTTATTTTAAAAACGGGAAGGCTAAAGTTAGTTCTTCAGTTGCCATGACTAATTCTTTACCCCCCTAGAATTATCCTATTGTTTCCAATGGAATGATTGCATTTGCAAAGGTCCAACTTACTGCTCCTCAGAATAAGGGGAGACTCTAAACAACTAGTGATTGCTCTATGAAAATCTTGGTTTTATTTTATGCAAAACGAATAACTTTAAACCTTACTCTGAATTCACATACATACCAATTCAGACAAGGAAGGCTGCAAAATGGATTGCTGAAGTCTTAACACAATGTCAAAACTACTAAAACTTGCAATTATATATTTTTTAAAATTTTACTTGTCTGTTGTGGCACCACCTGCTCTGCAGGCAGGATACAATTCTATGTACTTCTCTGATTTGGGGATATTTATGTTTTAAGCAAGTACAAAATGGTGTATATATATGCATACATATATATATATATGTGTATATATATATATGGTATATATATATACATACATGTATATATATATATGGTATATCTATATGCATACATATATACACACAGATATATATTCTCAAACCTAAGATTTAAGGGGAGAAATGTACAAAACAGAATTCTAAATTCAGTAAAGTGGTGGTGCCTGTATCTCTTGGTATTCTTGCCAAGTGTGTGGTTTTCTTTTTTTAAGGAAGCAGAAGAATAAATAAATCTGGGAAATTCTCATTATGCCTGTTTGAGACACCTTTTGCTGTAAACCTACGTTCTATAGGAAACAAAGGAAAGATCCTCTTTCCTTTGTTAATATCGTTTATCATCTTTAACTCATTAGCTGCTGAAGGTGTTACTTGAAACAGTGAGTCTTTTTCCCTATCTGTAACCTTTGTAGCTGGAATATACACAAATGTCATCGTGTATAGGATTGTAGATATTAGCAGAGGATTACTAACCATAATAATAAATGCTTTACAGAGAAAATTGGAGATTAACACCCTATACCACAAAGGTCTATTACACAGATAGATAGGGATTGTTGTGTTTGGTTTCAGCTCTTATTACTTTATGCTGGGAGAAAGAAGAGTGGCATGGAATATACTGAAGTGTCACCAAGACAAGTACTTGCACAAGAGTGATTTGAATTAGCAGTTCTTGGGAGTAGAGAGAGACTATTTTTTTGTTTAAGAAGTAGCAAATGATTTTAACATTGAAGCAAACTCCATTCTTTATATAACATGCAAATAAGTTCTTTTTCATAAATAGTGCCACAAGCTGATATAACAAAGAAAGACAGAAATCCATTGCTTGTCTACATAGTTCTTATTTGCTTTAAAATGTAGCATTTTAAGTCCCTTCGCAGATTTCTTTGTCAGATAGCATTCTTGTTGTGTGTGGCTCCCTCCTCCTGCGCCTTGAACTAGTGAGACATTGCCTCTGATGTTTAAACTTTGATTAAAAACACACACAGTGAATGTTTCAATACGGTGTTTTGTTTAACCAGAATACCAACAATACTTCATGGTAAACTTGCAAAATGATCCTCTGAGAGGACTTAGGTTTCGTGATTTTTTCTTGTGTTTGTCTCAAAGGGGGAGGAAACGCGTCAAATGAGCAGAACCAGTTTGACTTTTAAATGCCTTTTTTAAAACATGATTGAACACTTCTGGAAAAGATTCTGATTCACAGTACCTAGTGGTCCTTTCAACAAACAGTAGTGAAGACAGGCCATAGTTTATTGTGACACCTGAATGCAGCCACTGGGTCACCCGCCGTCTTGTTGATTTGTGCAAATTGGTCCTTGGCATGATTCTTCTGCACAGGCATGTTCCTTTGTTGTGTGAACCCATGCCACGAGTGTTGACCTGCAAATATGAAACAGCCATTCACAAACCAAATGCCGCACAGAGAGCTAACTTTCAACAGAGCCATGAGATGTCAAGTGATGGACATACACGTGTAAATTCAAGCCTCATTTATATAGCACACCTCATCAGGGGTGCTTTAGGGAGCAAGGCAAGCAAGAAGACAGGCCCGGGGAGTTTTCGGTCTGTCTTTCTTTTTAGAGTAAGAGATCACAAAGGGATATTAGCACAAGGGGGCTGAATGTGAGCTGTTACGTGAACTTTGGTTAGAATTCCATAGCCTTATCTCAACAGAAACCCAAGGGCTTCGTGGGAAATATGATGTTCTGGGAGGACAAGGGACGTGGCACCAAGCCTAATTCTTAGTGAGATGTTTAGATGGGATTAGACATGTATAAGACTGTATTGTCTCGTCTGTTACACTGAATGCAAGGGGTGCTGTGCATTGAGAAATGGTATGGTTCTTCTGAGTCTATACTGTGCTAGTTGGGCGCATAGGCAGCTTCCTATGTATATCATGCACCTTTTAGTGGTGCTTACACAGGATAAAAGTGTTTCAGACTAACCCATTGGGGCTGCCCCCAAACCTTCTTCCCACACTGCATTGTTCTATGCAAAGCGACTAGGGGAAAAGGTGTGTCATCATTTTGCTAACACCAGTCCATTCTGTCACATGTGGACTTCTTATTCGATGTAGCCCACAAATCATCAGTGTCTGCTTGTCCTGTTTTGATTGATGTGTTTCAGCTTGAAGACGAGGGTGAGCCCCAACTTTGCTAATGAAGCAATTGTAAGATTGCTTTTTTTTTTTAAAGCACTGTTTGGACTATACCATCCTTGATCATTTTTGGCCAGCCTCTAACATCACAATTTTTGGAGTAAGGTGTTAGAGCAAGTTGGTGGCAACTCAGCTTCAGACTTTCTTGGATGCTCCTGATCATTTAGATCTTTTCCAGTTTAGATTCAGGTCCATTTTGGGGTGAAACTGGCTTGGTGGATGCCTTACCAACTTAAAGTCTGGTGGAATGAAAATGTCTTAACCAACCATATGGTGGGGACTGTGTGTCTGTTGGATTTTGGAACTCTCTGTACCTTTGAACATGGAATCCTTCTGGGAATGAAGCAGTGTTCTGTGGTAGCTTTGGTCCAATCTAGTTAGATGGTGGTGTTGACGGTCTTTTGTTGAATCACTTGGGATCCCTCAGGGCTCTATTTTGACCTCCATTCTGTTTAGCATCTCCATTAAAACAGCACAGAATGGTCATCGGGGGTTTTGGTGTTAGATGCCAACAGTATGCCAGCAAGGCCCAGTGCATCTCTCATTTGCAGCTGAGCCAAGAAGCCTGTACCGGTAGCATCTA